TTTTTTTTTTTTTTTTTTTTTTTGGAAAAGAATTTCGTCAATGACAAAAATAAATTTATTTAGTTATTTATACTTCGTCAAATAAAGTTAATTCTTAAAGAGAAAATGTGGGTTTTTAGTATCAGGATTAATTCAAACGATACGAATTTCTCATGAAGTAACAGATTGTAAGGTTTTTTGAGAAATTCCTGTCTAAAATTGTTAGAAATTTAAAATATTTGAGAATATTCTATATGTTTCGTTATAATAAAAATTATCCTAACGATATTATTATATCTTACTATATACGTTCAGATATTTTTAAAAACTTTTCAGATATTCTCGATATCTTTGATAATTTTACAATCATAGCGCCATCCATGAACGGCTAAATTGCTAAGTTCTTTTCTTAAGAAAAACTCTTGCTCAATTGCATATAATTATGTAATAATCCTCTGTCATTTAATTTTGATCCAATTTTTATAATAACGTATATTATTGTATTTGCTTTTTATTACAATAATAAAAGTACATACTGTTATTCAAAGAATAGAAGGAAACAACCGTAGAATGCGTGACGTTAACGGAAATGAAAATGTCAAGTTGCCAGCCTTCTCATATCGACATACTATAGCATACGTGTACTTCGATTCTTCCTTTTCCCGCATCTCGAACGCGAACGAAGAAAGGAAATGACCGATTGAAATACGAAATGATGTCATATAGGATTTTTCTTGTCTTCTATTTCAGATTTGTTAACTTATATTGTAGAGGAACGGCACCAGAAAAACGCTTCGGTTATTTATGTTAAATGATCGAACGCTAACCTAAAATAATTCGAGCGAAGACTAGCTTATTACGGATCGCCATTGTTGGATACTATTCGTTCGCAAAATGGATTCGTTCCTATTATCTTTTTCGCCATCATCATCGTCGAGGCATCATTCTCGCCATCGTCATCGTTATCCTCGACGTCATCGTCACCGCGATTGAAAGCTAGTCGAAACTTGACAGGATCTGGAGCCTTTGAATAGGAATACGGCCGATATTTCAACAAAGCGCCGCATAGCAGGCCGATCGTCGCTGCGCATCATGTTCGGGACGAAACTGCGCACATGGATGGAGGCACATATCGTGCGTTCGAAGAAGAAAAAGGATCGAAAAAAAGGGGAGAAAGGATTTGATTCTAATTGCAATTCCCCTCGTAATCATGGATCCCACAGATCATCCACGTTACACCAAGTGAGTATTTTATCTCGATTTAAATTATCTTCTGATCACGGAGTCATTTTTCTGATACTGCATTATTTTCGACAACACGATTTGATCGATTTACAACTTATTTCCTCGACTATCTAGATCTATCTTCTTTTCTTCGTAAATGATTCTTCTTTCGTTTAAAGAAGAAAAAATCAAGAATTATCAGATAGTGGAAGAAATGAACGAAGAAATGAGAAGAGAACCGATAGATCGTAGCTATCCAATTAGACTCGTAACAACGATCCAATTAGAGTCGTCCATTTTATCTTCTACGCCATTTTAACAAATTACTCTCTACTTTCACAATCTTTCAGAACAATTTCGAGAACTATTTGATTATTTGCAGGTTCACCCGATAGACTCTTCGAAAAATGTGGATGGAATTCGATTGCACGGTGAAGGTAGTCGATGCGGCACTGTGACTGCATCCTCGGGTACATCAGCAGGTACCGGCAGCGTGAATCTCTCTTCCCCGGAAAGTGCCTATAGTACTGGATACTCAACGGACGGTACCTCGCCCGGAACCAGCTATCCACCGGAATATTACATCAATATCAGGACCGGTACCCATTACTTTCAAAGTAATGCCAACGCCAATACAGGTACGGGGACTGGCAGCTACAATAATGGTAATAACAATAGCAACAGCAACAACAACAACAACAACAATAACAACGCCAGACCAAAGAAATCGATCGATTCGTCGGATTTGCCGGTGACCGCTGTACTCTCTGGACGTAAACATGGAAGGTACGACGGCAATATCGAACCTTCTGCTTCTACCTCTTCCACGATCTTCGCATCTGGAATGATGAGCATGGATAACGAAGTGACAAAAGGTTTTCGAACTAATACTCCGAGCAAGGTACGTCTATCGAGTTAAAATATTCTGAAAAGTGAACTTGTTATTTTTTTCACAACATTATAAGAAAAATAGAATTTTAAATTTCTATAAAGAATAAAAGATACTTCTAAAAACAAAGGACACAATAATCTATTGTGCGATATTTTTTCTTCTAGAAAAAAATTCACATTTCACATAATGAAATAATTCTATTCGTTTTACACAAATAGATCAGTGATCACTTTCTGGACGAGGATAGATCATTGCAACAGAGGGCGTTACTACAAGAGAAATATCACCGACGAACCGAATCAATCTCCGCGGAATCTTCGAGAAGCAATTTAATTGTCCCACCTTCTTCTATACCACCGCCTTTATTATCACCAACTATTCAATCGCCTCGCGAACGGTCGCGGATCCGTACCAATCCGTGGCTCTCGGCCAATTCCTCCGGCTCGAGTACAACTGGTTTCAAATCGAGATTGAATCTTGACGACACTAGCAGTGGCTCGGGATTAAAGCTGACCGAATCATCCGGAAGCGCAAGCGACGTGAACACGAGCAGCGTACGAGTGGGGCGAGCCAGAAGAGAGTTCAAGCAAGAGAGTCTTAGCGCTGGAAGGAGTCCGTTAGTATACAATACAACACAGAAAATCTTCCAGTAAAACTTTGTCAAAATTTTTAAATAATAATAATTTATTATTAATAATATTTTTAATTTTATTTAATATTTTATTAATATTTTATTATTATTAATAATATTATAATAATAATTTTATTATTACTAATTAATTTTTATTCAGCCAAATTTTAATCCAAAGCAAAGATTTAATCCTTTTCCTTTTTTCGTAGGATAAACCAAAATTGGAGAATAGCGTCTGGCATGGAAATTCGGCCAAAGATAGCATTATCCGTGCAACGACGTAACAGCGCCAGCAGTAGCAGCAGCGCCAGCACCAATAGCACAAGCAGCAACGTGAGCAGTGGTAGCAACGGAATCGGTAGCAGCAGCAACGATAACGAGGACGAGAACAGGAACGAAAATGAGAACGACAATGGGAACGAAAATGAGAATGGTTCGTCCGCGTCGTCGGTTACGCGAAGTGCCAGATCATCAGAAGATGACATTACTTTGAACGAGATGATGGGCAAGTTCGATGAAAGTTACGTGTACGAAAAGGAGACCGATATTTTGTCCGATAGCGACCCAACCGATTGCGAGGACTATATCGAGTCTCTGTCGGACTTGGATGCGACTAGAGATGCAAATGATGAAAACGATCCCCTTGACAACGACGATTTTGATTACATAGACAACGGCTCGTTCCTCGATCTCGACAATCTTGATTGTACCGGACGCTTCACCAATACTGGACATTGTACTTATTTCGCGTTCGCCGGCGAACTTGCCCGGCGAAGCAGCAGACTGCGAGAGTCATTGATGAAGCGTAGAAATAGGGACGACGCGACGATGCTTCAAAGGTGATTGATGCTTTCAATAATGTTTTCGAGTGTCGAGTTTTAAGAAATAATATCTTCTTTTTTATTTGTAGAACGATCAGCGCGAAGAATACCACGAAAAAGCAGTTAGCACGTCACAAAAAGCAAATAGACGAGAAGCAATTAACCGAGAAACGAAAGAAGAGATCCTTACAGCGTCGGCAAACGAATTTTGATAAACGCGATCCGAATGCAGCTGTAGTCGGAATGGCCAACGATGGTCACGACGACGACGACGACGATAACGATGATGAAGATGGAACAGCAAATTTAAATCGCGTATTGGTAGAGAGAATGTTGCTTAAAAATTCGGGTTTCAATCAGGGTAGTAGAAGCGTTGGAGGCACCCCAATTTGCTTACGTCGAAAAAAACACGATGTAAACAAGAACTTGTCACCACTGCGATTAAACGATAAACAATCACCTGCCGTTGGGATAATAACCAATGATCCTGATGCCGTTAAAAGACGATCGAATTCGGTACGCTTATTTAATATTATTTTATATTATTTATTTAATATTAATCGATCGTAATGATAGAATGTATATATACGTTCACTTTTCGTTAAATTTATAGGTAAGCTATGTGAATGGAAATCTTGTTAGACGACAGATAAGTAATACCGAGAACACGTATATGACCACATTCGCCTCTGAAATCGCGTTGATCGAGGCCGACAAGGAAGCGGACAAAAAATATCGGGAACTGATTCTCGAGGCGGAAAATATTTTGGTCAATATGCAAAAGAATCAAAACAGCTTACCTATTGTGCCATCACCTTCTCGAAAGTTTCACAATGGACTAGCCAATAAGCGTGTCGAGCTCATCAAGAGCACAGAGTTGAACATAGAGCTTGCTCTTTCTAAAAGCAGGAATTCTCAACCAGAATTGCAGAGTGGTAGCATCAAAGATCTCGAGCATACGAGTCCTAAGAGGCAACAATTTGTTCACACTTGTTCTCCGATTCGTCGATTTGCCGAACGTAACGTCTCCTTGCCAACCGCTGGTGCAGCCACGTTTCAATCGAGCTCGAACAAATGCCCCGTCGACTCTCCACTCGTTTCGAAAAGAGTGGCGAATCAACAGCAATCGTTGGATAGAAGCCTGCTCCGTTCCTCTCGACCAAAAATCTACGAGAATCAAGATTCTAATGACAACGAGGGACGACAGAGCGCGGAAACGACGATGAGCACAGTGACGATGTTCGATTGCAACGGTATCCTTGGATCGGACGTAGATCGAGGCGCGACACGATCTCAAATTTCCTACCTCGTTAATAATAGGCCATGCGCCATTTTACATACGCACAGAGATTCTTTTTCTGCAGTGAATCGGAAGGAATTTCGCAGCTCGAGATCGTCCAACGCAGGCAAGGAAGATGGAGTGACATCGAGTTCTTCTGATTCCGAGGAAAGATGTGATATCAGGAGACGGGCACCTCTAATGACTTTCAGGTTGCAGCATGTTGTTCAATATGCTGTATTTTGATAAGAGTGATTTGAAAAAAATGATCTTCTCTTTTTCGTAGGTCGGTCGATATGGGTCCCATAAAAGAAGGATCTTCCTATTGCCCGCAAAGTGAACCGGTAAAAAGGAAAGTGTACGCAGGCAGTGCATCTTATGGCAGGATACAGAAAACTTTGGGTGAGCAGATCGTCTTGAGAAACTCGGATGGAGATACCGCCACCGATGATACAGGTATTTATATATTATCTTGATATTATATTAACGATAATTTTTATTTTCCCTTGGTCGATTTACAGATGATTCAAGAAAATCGTTGAAGGAAAAGGTGGCCAGGCTTCGACAAGAACGGTTAATCGCGAATACAAGCGGTCAAGATTCGCAAATCTTTCAACATCAACTCTCCCAATTGCGAAGACAAATGCTGATGCAGACAATTGAGGGTCTGAAGAGAAGTCTCGAGGATCAGTCCGCAACTTTGAAGCAGACGTGCTTAGAACCGGTAATGACCGATCGATTGCCTTGAACCGAGCGCGGAACCGAAAAGAATCGATTCCCTTCTCGTGAAATTAACTCGCGAACTCCACCGAGTTATATCGCTACGGCCCGCGTCGAGCAACCGCACGTAACACGGCCACGCTCTTCGTGTAATCTTATATCGAATTATTAAATGTGCGCGATGTTTTTGAAACGTGTCGAGTCACCGAAAAAAAAATACCAATGATCGACGCGATAGTCGAATTTCAATTTACCTATAATTATTTAAAAGGAGATCGATCTATTTTTCTGCCTATTTACATATGGTAAAAGAATCAAAATTAAAAGGGTTACATATTTTCTGGGCATTGTTCTATGATTACGCCGCGGCTGTACGTGACTCATTCGAAGTGTTTTTTCAGGATTCGAATAAGGTAAGGATAAAATTAAGATCGGAAAAATATCCCGTTCCATCCTTCTCATTTTTCTCTCTCTCCTTTTATATTCCATCCTGGTATAATGTTTTCCTTCTTTTTCCTTCGATTTATCGATCGAATGATTCGCGTACCTTCACGGGCCTATCCGCGGACTAATCCTCGCGTTCACAATACGTGCTGATATTATCATCCCAACTTTCCATACATACATATATACATTATTATATTAACTCGTAATGTTCCTATTTTTACTTCGTAATTGCTACTTCCGAAGAAAAATGGTCAAGATAACAATGGAACTAGGAGCAAAGTTGTCGATTCTGTCGATGGAAGAAACATTTCCCGTTAGTATACCAAAGATAATAACCTAGCAAGGTAGTATAGAACTGTTTAGTTGATAATAGCATTGTATGCTATATAGACGTTCGTAAATATTAGAAAAGCTATTATTAGAATATATTTCTCTGAGTTTCGTAGAGAAACGATACCGTATTGCGTCGGAGAAATCGTCAAGAGATCTTCCATGATCGTCAGATTCAAATTTATTACCGTCGATGAATTAGTTCTTCCGTTTCCGATCCGTTGCGAAAAAATAAAAATTCTTCTTTCTTCTTCGACGCTTAAAAATTTGACTCTGACGGTTTAGTAGAACGAAATACTTTCAGTCACAGTGATATTTTTGTGAGAATAGACTGATAGCGTTATTGATAATTATATATTATATTATTACATCTTTTAGATCTTAAGCGTTTTCGATAGTGATTATTTCTTTGTGATCTATATGTTTCGAGTTCTCTTGGAAAGAGGCAGCGACATATAATACGCACACGATATTTATGT